AAAAAAAAAAAAAAAAAAAAAAAAAAAAAAAAAAAAAAAAAAAAAAAAAAAAAAAAGTAACAACATGTTAATACATTTATACATATACTAAAGGGAAAATCAGATCTCGCGATCAAAGACTTGGAGTACTCAATAAATAAAAATCAGGTTCACAGTTGGTACAAAAAAAAACCACTTCTTGCCTTGAAGCTCTCTATTTTTGTGCTACTAGAGATATAAAAATAAAAAATACCAGCGTAAGACTACTTATTTTTACAAATGAAGTAAAACTATAAAGTACAAACTTTTTTAATTCGGAATTTAATCAAAAAATCACTAAACAGTACAGTAGAAGTTGAAAAATAGATTTGGAATAGAAAAAGAAGGGATGAATCGTAAGAGGTTGAGTTATAAGTACATTTTCCGCCCTCGGGTGGTTTTGGGAGGCTGTTACTTCCTCGGGCGAAAAAGCAGTTTTCCGGAACTCGTTCGAAAAGTCTCCTTCACGAACCTCATTACGTCTCTTGCCTTCGGCTCGGGCCGCAAACCTCTCGGTTCGCAAACAAAGACTTTTCAAACTCGTAGGAAAACTACCATTTCTGCACTTTGATCGTCAAGTCGTGTATTGCATGGTAAAAGTATAGTGTAATGACTCTGTTAAAAATAGTGGTAACAGTAACGATGATAATAATAATAATAATGTAATAATTTAAGTGGTAATACTGATGATATAAACATAAACATAAGTTTTGAAAAATAGTCCGAGGAATGAATGAACGAAAAAAAAAAAAGTCGCCTGCGATTAAGGATGAAAAACGGTGTAATTACGTTTAAGTAAGCGATTTAAAGAAAATATGAAAATCGATGCGAGTGATGAAAAGTCAAGAGAAACGATTGTTTAGGGGTGTCGAGAGATGTGCAAAAAAAAAAAAAATTCGTTCCGTGCCATAAACCTCATCAGAACGATACGAACTTTTTTTTAAAGGTTTTATTCAATCAGCGCCGATCAACAGTGGTTCTTTCAATCTTATATAATACAATGATCTCGCCGACGTAACGACTAAACGATTAATTTTTTGGTTTTTGTTGATTTTTCGTATATTTGACGTTAACAATCGATTAAAAGATTCCACAATTATCTATACGAAGTAAAATACCAGCAAGTTAGCCAAAGGGTTGTTGTGCAACGAACGAGAGACATTGACGTGCACGCGTGCTACATATACACGTATACTTAAAGCGACATTCGCAGAGCTGAATAATATAATAGTAATAATAATTGACAGAGATACGATTAAATGCTATATAACCCAAGTCAGAATTTTCTATACGTATATTGTTTGTATGTATAATATGAACACACAAGCTAAAAGCATGTAATTATTTATAAATATATTTATGCAACAAAGTCGCCCACGTCGAGTCAGTCAGTCAGTTTGTATACAATAATAGTTTTCTACCGCAGTATTTATATGTAGCTATATTTATACAAATGTTTATATCTATATATATTTATACACATATATATTTATACATACATTGTAAAAAAAGATTATACAAATGATGTATTTTTACCCATCGATTAACTTAAAAGTCGTAGCCGAGATAAAACGAAAATGTTAACGATAATCACGGATTATAAAAGTAACGATTATGAAATAATGGTAACGATTGAAACTTGCCCATTGTCTCTCGCTCTGCAAACAACCCCGTGGATGATAACGTGTATCCATACCCGACATAGTCCGCAATAGTCACTTGAACTTACAATTAACAATAACAGTATTGCAATAGTTTTAAAAGAAACAAAGAAGAATAATAAAGATGGAAAAAAAATAAATAAATAACAATGTCGAGCCGCGAGCCCTCGCGGGTTGAGCTTATGCCCTGCCTTCGAGATATATCCGTCCGTCCGTTCGTTTTTTTTTTCTTTCTTCAATTTCGGGGACATATGCATAGTCTCCGGAAACACAAATATAATACACGTATCTCTACTTATACCAACAAGGATATACTTAACTTATACCGTGGTAACAATAACTACTTCAATCATGCATATATTGGAAAAATGTTTATGCCTTTTTTTTTTTTTTTTCAATAAATTGAAAAAATGGAGAAACTTGAAAGTTAAGTATATACTCGTATATGCGAACGCGACTGCCCCCCCAAGTTCCGGGCAAGCTCTTAACCCGCGACTGCCGCTACGCTCGGCGCTTTGTGCATAATCATAAAAAAATAAACGATAGTTGTAATAATAATGATAATAAAAATAATAATAATAACACGTATAATAAACTCAGCTGAAAACTGAAACAGGCAGGCCGTGATATATGTTATATACTTATTAATAGAACCTATTACTATACAACATTTATTAATGATATTTTTACACGCCAACGGGATTAAAATGAAATAAACAAATACCGAAATAAAAAAGAACAAAACCGCGCGCAGTTATATAGACGATGAAAATAGCGAGATCTACAATAGACACACACACACACATATTATACGCATTATATTTTTTGTCTTTTATCGATAAATTGTGTTGTTTGTTGATTTGTTTGTTTGTTACAAGTTTTTTATACTGCTGCAGGCAACAGTGATGCTTGTAAAATAACAGTTTCGAGTATCGATGGCGATGTTATAACGATAGCAAAGATGTTAATGATGATGATGATTGTGATGTTGAATCACAAGTATACCACGCGGTCGTATAATACCTAACTACGTGACAGTCTTTGTGCGTGAATATACTTACATATACGTTATTCGATTGGTTGATTTACCACATTTCTCGCGTTCGTATGTCATACAATGTCAACCTGTTAACGGCGCTACGCTTGTACGACATAAGTTAGAATATTATTGTTTCCTACACAAATGATTTCCTACGATATTCTTCATCAAAGAAATACATTGGTATACTCGAAAAAAAAAAAAAATAATAAAAAGCAAAACCTTCGTTTCGAATTTGGTTTTTACTACAGGAAGAACTGAATCCTCACTGCCATGATGCATAAATAAAAAAAAATTAACCATCAGCCATACCTATATACTTTGTAAGTGTAAGCTGTTGGTTTGGAAATTTTCTAAAACTACACGATGATGATGATATTACGTTTTAATGTACTTACAGTCATGAGGTACTTATCGCGCGGGTGAATTTTAACAGATCGCGTGAGAAAGGGATGAAGAATATGTGTGAGTGCGTATATATGCGTAACGAGCGAAAAATATATATATACATATATATATATATGTGTACAGTATACGTGTGGCGATCCAACCAGAAATGATGATGAACCTACTTACGTGATATTCACAATAAACAAAACAAACAAACAAAAAAATGTAAGCAGCGAATAACTTTCGTATAGGCCATGTATTGTAACGTGACACGTCAAGTCTTCTAGTGATAACATTAATTGATTAATTAATGTTTAAGATAGATATATATATGTATAAATATATATGGAAATTATATATATATATAAGTTATTTTTCGTTTAACCGAGATCACTGACATAATAATTTAATTTATTGCGGGAAAAGATTCCAGAAGAGAGGTGAAATCAATGATGCGCGTCATTCAGCAGAATCGCATAGCAACCATATATAAATATAAATATATTGATACGTTTATGTGTTTTTTATTGTGCAATGTGAAATTGGATTGGTTATAGCACTGCGGCAGCGTTGACGGCAGCGGCCGGCCAGCTGATATCATAATTATATAAGCCATTAACTCAAAAATTGTCAAGTGTTACATTTGCGAAAAATTAAGGATGAAAAAAAATGGAGATTTTTGTGCAACTTAAATTTTGTTCGATGAGTTAACTTGAATTAATTAAGGTATATAAGAAGTTATGTTTTAGGTAAACAAATTTAGGTTTTTGTCTTTTTAGCCGCACTTAACCGAACAACTTGGATGTGGCGACAATCGATCGATTGTCTCTTTGATTAGTTCGGAGATGAATAATTATATGTATTTACGTGGAATGAATGATCACGTGCGAGTATATATATATGCTTACTTACTCAGATTCGTCGTTATAGTATAAAGATTACGAGGTGCTTTTAGATTGTTATGTACATGTACATTATTGTCATTATTATAATTATTATTCTAATTTTAACATAATTTTATTATTGTAGTTCATTATTTACGTTTTACGCTCACCAATGTTTTGTTTATAAATTTTTCGATGCTTATATTGGTGACTTTTACGTAATTTTTTAGGAATGCCAGAACATGAGAGGGCTACCTTCTTAATTGTTTGGGAGCGAAATATGTTGGCGAATCAGTTGTAAATTTTTATTATTAACTTTTTTTTTTTACCCACTCCATTCGTTTTCTGTCTTCCTACATTCGTGTAAATAAAGCCTCTATATTTAACAGTTTCTATCGTTAAGTACAGTTGCTCCCAGCACACAATCGTCTGGCTAAACAAAATGTTCATTATTTTTTGTTTGTTTATTTTTTTATCACCCCTCGCGTACCACATTAACTTACGTTCGTTCTTATTATTTGGCCATTTTTAGTGTTAAGTTATTCAATTTGCCAATGCGATTTAATAAATACGTTGGAAACGATAGAGTTTTTCTGTTTTTTATTTATATTTTACCTTTGTTTTTATCCTTTTTTAATTTATAATCCTTTATACTTTACGAATATCTTTAAGTTTCATTAAGATTACAATAAAGCGCTTCAACGGTAAAAAAAGTAGCATGTACTGTAGGGTGAAAATTGTTCGAAAAAAATTTTTTTCAAATAGTTTTTAATAACATATTCATCTTTAGAACTTATAAATGCATTGTTTAATGGAAATTTTAAATGTAGGATCAAAAAAGATCATGTAGCGTAAAGAAGCACGTACAGATACAAGTGCAAAAATGTTCATTAAATGGTGAAGTAATGCTAATATTATAAAAAAGAAGCATGTATACGATATTTACATTAGGAGAAAAATGTAATTAATTTGGATAGTGCAATAGCAAAATTGAGTTTATATACAAGTTAGCTGTGCCTTTTTATGGCCTGATGTGTATACTACCTTATTTGTGTTTAACAAATTTACCTGCTACTCCGAGGTGTGGGAAACAAAAAAAAAAAAAAAAATACCAATATCGAATTGTCTGCATCATTTTTTTCATTCATTTCACAGAGACAAAAATAGTGAGAAAAATGTCATAAAAATATGCAAAAATACAACAATTTAATTTAGCAGTAAAAATATATTACTCTTCAATAAAAGGAATATTCGAAGGATAGTGAGCATCAGGCAAACACAGTTCCTATTTAGTTGGTACCAATCATAGACTTATTGCACCTTTATCACGTGCGAGAGAAAAATAATAACAACAATAATAGTAATAATANACTCATCTTGCGTGCTGATTCATATCTTCGAGGTGGAGAGGATTAGGACAAGGTGCTGCTGTTTTTGATTTGCACCCGAACGATGAAAAACAATGTTGCTCTTCACTTTTCTTTGTCCTCCTTGTAATAGAGCCCGTTGTAAATCTTGAAGAGAATTTCCTATGTATAGTATACATGTATAGTCGCTTATGATTTAACTATTATATAAATATTGTGAGGATATTCAAAAAAAGTTAGTCGTCAAGTTTATAAAATTCATATAAGTCGTTAAAAATAAAGAGAAAATTAAAAAATCATGGTTTCTATAAACTTTTGTCGAATTCCTTCTAAATGTGCCTGATTGTGTAATTTAATATTAATTACAAATTTAATTTGTTTGGGCTCTTTATTGACGCAAATCGTTCCATTTATTTAAAAAATTTTAACTCTTTCTTTTTTATTTGTCAACAATACACCTACCTACCTGCAGTAAGTATAGTAATGTACGAAAAAGACTTTTATTTTTATTTTTGATTTCTATCTATGATTTCCAAAAGTTTTGCGACTTTCAGGGCACGTCCGAAAGGGACCTTGCATGTCTCCTTGCTGACTGGAATCCTCGCGCGGGAAAACGGCTCTAGTGGTATCCAGAGTGAACCACGGATTTGGTGAGTGGTGCGTTGTCGCGGGCTCGGGAACTGCTGCAAATACTTATTATGAATAAAATCAACCCCACCCTCATAGCCGTACTTGCTCCAGCAGGTCTACATCATGATCGAAAGCATCGGAGTATAGGACTTTTGGCGGCGAATGGCACGGCTGCACACAGTTCTTATTTAGTTAATTTATTACGTGCGAGTAAAGAACAAAAAAAACACCATTTATGTACAAGTGTGAAAAGAAAATAATTTTTACCAATGCACAAGTATTTTGAGGTGATTCAAAAAAGTTGGTCGTCAAGTTTATCAAAATTCATACTAGTCGTTAAAAATAAAGAGGAAATTGAACGATTAAAATTTCTTTCATTCTTAAAAAAGAAGCTCATTTTAATTTTCTAGACTTAATGCTTTTACACATTTATCATCCCGTTTAATCAATCTGTGTATTTACTAATATTTTACGTAGTGTCTATTAAAATAGACACAGCGCATATTTTAATTGAATGTGTAATAAATATTTATCGTGTAGTCTAAGCCCATGGTACTTTAAACTTCGCGCATTAAATTGTTCCAGATGGCTCCTGCTTGTCCCTCCCTCAACTCTTACCGAATGGTCAATAGGTTATGTTTACACACTTAATGCACTACTCAAATGTAAACAAAGATCACACGGCGACGGTTCTCTTATGTTCAGTGCAGGCTTTAGTAAAATATTTTTCTGAAATGCCTCAAGTGACAAGTAAAGTTTTTATTTACTTAAATGAATGAATGTTTGTAACATAAAATTAACGGTAACAGTAGATTTTATACAGAAAGTTACGATATGACAGACACCAAAATTTTAAAAACATTAATCAGCAATAGTAATGTTAAAATAGCTCAAGAGTCGGCAAGAGAATGGGAATCTGCCAAGGATACTGAAGAATTTCCAGCAATAAAAAATGTTACCATTGATGTTTTGTCCAAGTCTTTTACAAAGTATCTGACTTACAAGATTTCTCCAGAAGCTTATCAACGATACTCAGTTAGACTTAATATTATTGTAAGTAATTTGTTTACTTGAATTTTTTCATCAATTACCTTTCAAGAGACCACAATTACGTATTTTTATCCTTTACGTAGGAGACTTTGAGGGATTGGAGTCGAATAAAATGGGATTTCAGTGAACTTGCTGTATTTCAAAACTTGGAGTCGTCATTTGAATTTTTGTCTCATACTTTGCAGAAGTATTTATCAGATCAAAATATAAGCAGCTGTGATGATGTTGATAGTCTTGTTCAACTTGCTGAAGTGTTGCACAACTCGGAGCATAATAAAAAATTATGCCAGAAGTATTTTACGAAAGTTGTAGAAAGAATCACAAATTTAAATCAATCGCCAAAAAGTGAGAGGTTTTTGCGGAACTTACTTGAAAATAGTGACAATTTCAAAATAGAATCGTCTTTGATAGAAAAACTTTACATCAAACCTCTAGAAGCTTGTATCAGTGATTTTTATTTGGATAAAACAAAAGAAGATAATTTTAAGAAAATAGATTTCATATTCGAAAAAGTCATCGACAGTCCATCATTGTTTTATTTGATATCGAATCATTTGAAAAATTTATTTGTTAAAACAAAATATGCAGAAAAATCTCAAGTTTTTATTAAAAAAATGATGGAGGAAATAGAACTCTTTTGTAACAAACACAACAAGGATACTCTGGATCTTTATCCAACAAATTTACAGTTTTGTGTTCTACTTTTAAGAATTAAACCTTGTTACCATGATAACAAATCAAGAAATCTTACTGTGCAGGCGTTGAAACAAATATTTTTAGAAGACAATAATAATGCATTGCTCTTAGTGTCACAATTTCCCGAATGGTTGCCAGATTATTTAAAATTCTTTGATATTCTTGAGGAATTATCTCAAAAACCCGATACCCAGGGGGTTAGTGAAAATTTAGATTGAGCAGATAGCTACAATGTATTGTTAATCATGTTTATTTCATCTATGAAATCAATTTATATGCAATGATAAATTATTTATACATTTTTCTAAAGAGATTTATATTTTATGTTTGCTATACACCATATTGTATTGAGTTGGAATTCTGAGAAATAAAGTAAGCCACAAAATATTGGTTAACGAAAAAATCGGTCAAATTCATGTGTATATTCAAGAGTTTAATAATATAATGATGGGAATAATGTTCATTTACTTGATTTAACAAAAAATACACCGCTGGATATCAATGTAAACAGTAGATGATCGATTTCGATCGGATACTAATGAAAAATAGCGCTCTTTAACGGGACTCGAATTGGCACATTGATCACCGGAAATTTCCGTTTTCTGGAGTCAAAAATAGACTCATCTTGCGTGCTGATTCATATCTTCGAGGTGGAGAGGATTAGGACAAGGTGCTGCTGTTTTTGATTTGCACCCGAACGATGAAAAACAATGTTGCTCTTCACTTTTCTTTGTCCTCCTTGTAATAGAGCCCGTTGTAAATCTTGAAGAGAATTTCCTATGTATAGTATACATGTATAGTCGCTTATGATTTAACTATTATATAAAATTTTAAAAAAAATGAAAATGAAGGTAATCATCAGATTAAGTGACACATTAAAAAAATTAGTAACAGAGAACTTGCTTATTTAATCATCACAAGTAAAATTTTAAAAATTGATAAATTTAATCTTTATTAAATCATCTTAAATTAAATTAGTTATTAAAAATTTTACATTTCCTACTGTTATGACTAAAACTGGCAAATAAAAAAAATAATTTATCTGAGGCATAAACCATGACTTTTTTCACTTTCGTGAAAATCAGGATACAGAAACACGAAAATCATTCAAAAAAAGTTTTGTTTTTATCTCCATAAAAACATTATCGTGTACAATTTAAAAAAAAAACAAATTACAGAACTGAAATAAAAAATTTTACATTAAAAAAAAAAAAAAAATTTTAATCAGAAAAATGTGAGAGTATAATCTTAAAAGCAGAAAATACCACTAATTTGCATACTTGAATGAAAGAACAAAAATGGAATCTGGAAAATAGCAAAAATTTTAACCAAGTAAAATGTAAGTTAAATATTATTAAATAAATATCGAGGCAATGATTTTGGTTTGCAAGACTTTGCTTTTCGTGTTCCTTTTTTGTTTTTATAACTTTTGATCTCTAGTAACGAGCGAGCATCAATGACTTCATTTTTTTTTGGGTGGACATTTTTTGTTTGTTCAATGAATCCACTCGTTTCGATTTTACAACTCTCGATGAATATTTCCATTTAATATATTCACACACACACCCACGCTCACGCATACACGTATGCATGTAGATATTTATATTTTGTTAAATATATAGATTTATATATTTATTCTTTTATTTATATATATATTTTTATTCGATTTTGTTTGTTTTTTTTTCAAGTTTTTTTTTTTTTATATATAAATGGCATTTTGCTGTATCTATAGGCGGAGGATCACAATCGTCTGCTTTTTCATTAATTTTTTAAAATCATCTTACAACTAAATATTTGAAGTTATTTGTGATCATTTTATAAAACAATTCACACACAAATATTTTGCATTGTTAATTACAGAAAAAAGTTACAGAATAGTGGACGCGTTAAGGACCCAAACAAATTTTTATGTGAAATCGAAGCAGTACCAAATCCTCTCGCCCAATATTTATTTATTTAATCTTTCTCACATTTGTTGAATAATTTAAAATATTACGAACTATGGCGAAACGTCTGTCCGAAGAAATATCGTTATTGCGAATCTTAGCTTCGTAAGACTTAAATTTTATTTTTCAACATGTTGCTTTTTTTATAACTCGATAATCAGATAACGATATTATTACGCTGATATCGATATTTCCAAAAATGATTAACGCTTGCTCGAGTCGCCGTTTTACGTGACAAGTCCAGCGACATAATATTTGCAAGATAGCAATATTCAACGATGGGTTCAAATTAAAGCTTGAGTGGTATTTATCCCGCTGAGTGCACGAGGTGACGGCTCTTTTAGAGCAGCTCAGATTTTTATTTCGAAAAAGGGGTTAATTGAGTAATGCATTTACACTCTCCGGCGCACACACAGAAAAGACACGCAACAAACGCACACTTTTTTCATTTTTCTTTAACATGATAGAGACGTATTTTTTTTTTCCTTTTAATATTTTATTTGAATGCGCATTCACGCATTACGGTATGTAGAATGAAAAACATTTTTGTGACAATTTTTTTAATCGCATTTTTAAAATTTATTGTAATAATCATGCATTTTTCATAAAATAAAATAGAAAATTAACAAACGATCGAGGAGTATCATGATCACATAAACGATAAAAATATAAATCTGAAAAAAAGTATATATGTTTCTTGCATTACAAAGTGAGAGACATTAGCGAAATATCAGCAGCTGCTATCAAAGCTTTTGCTGTGATTTTTCGATTAAGTCACATCTATTATGTACGTATGATAACGAGACTAATAATCGTAATGATAATTTTTAAAATAATATTAATAATAGTATCGCAATAATCATTTTAATAATCAATGATAATATAATAACCAATGTAATTGATAATAATAACCTTAATAATCGCAGTATCGAGGCGATTCTCGTACGAAAATGATAGAAATTTTCCGTGGGTGTATATTTATCGAAAGGGACTAACAAGTCAATCGTAACTTAAGTATTTTTCAGTTGGAGTTTCTTTGAAAGTTCATATTAGCTATTGCTTCTATTGCTCACAATTTTAGTGCATAGAAACATCTGCCAGATTCAATGAAAAACTCGAAAATTTCAATCGCATTTGCACGAGAACATCGCAAACGATGTTATATAATATCCTTTTGTTTATTTATTTAATTATTTTTTTTTATCATTATTATTATAATTCAGCAGTGACCGTAGTAACAGCAATGATTATCCCATTGTCAATCACGAGCATAGGTCGACTAATAGTAAACAACCTGTGTTGTTCACCAATATATTTTTATTTTATTTCACTTCTAGACGAAAAATCGCAGTTCGCATCAGCAACGGCCGACCATCAAACGTCATGCAACGATGTCAAACAGCAAACGAAACACCAAACTATTTCTAACAACCTCTCTCTCTCTCTCTCTCTCTCTTTTTTTTTTCCTCGTTTTATCGCACACTCGCGCGCTCTTTTGCATTATGTATTATGCACTTACAGTATTCTTCGTACACAAGAGGTCTTTACAATAAAGCATTCCCTTGATTCCATCATCAATCTTCCTGTGTCCGAAACAAGGGACCCAGAAGAAGCGTCTGCCGAATTTCAGCACGCTACAACAGCCTAAGTATACACCATCATCATCATCATTCTCAAGTCGGCGACTCTTATCACTTGCCACTATGTTTTTTTATAGCTCTACACAAGTCTCTCGATAACAAAATTGATAATCCACTGGACTGATTGTGACAAAGATTATAATGAATCTTCAAGTAGGTATTCGTTTGTATTAAATAATAATGATTTTTCAGTATTTGTTGTTACTTTTAGTATCACGTTATTTTATTTTATTTTTTCCCTTGCACACGTGGTGCAACAACAGCATACGCGCCTATGTAAAATTTGGAATGCCAATTCTTCTGGGTCCCGCCAGAAGGCATTTCGTTACAATCATATAGTTTATATAGATTCTATATAAATACCTAATATACCTTTGTTTAATACATACCTAATATGTAATTGTGTTAGAACGTAACTTCAGTATAATGTTCACATGTGTCTGCAAGTAAGGAGGTGTATGTTTTCGAGTTTGATTGTGTGTGTGTACGTATTTATGTATACTATATTGTAACTCTTGGATTGTGAATTTTCTTTTACGAGGATTGTTTAATTCATTGTTGCGGTGTATTTCACGTACTCTTACTTACGATATACATAGACGATATATACGATTTTTAAAATATATATATATATACAGTAAACGTACGTGTGTGTGTGTGTGTGTATGTTTTATGTAACTATGATTGTGTATGATTATTTCTGCCTGCAGTGTCCAACGAGGGTCGCAACATAATTAACGTTGTACTTATAATGTAAATATATAGATTCGTACCAGGCTGGCATCTTGTCAAATCTAGCCCATGTTTCTATGTGATAATCATTGTTTGATAGAAACGTTGTGTTTTAATTTCTTGAGAAAATTTGCGAACGAATGTAAGGTGTCACAGTTGATCAACAACCGCTTATAGGAAAGGGACGAGAGCCATCCTTTAGCCAGCAGTCACCCGTCAGTAAATCAAGGACATTCACACCTCAAAGTGCTTATGAGCACCTCTCACAAGAATCCTCAGAGGCTCGTCTCTTTTCTTATTTTTTTTTCTCTCCATTATTACAATAAATTTCTTTTTCTTACAATAAAAACAATTAGTTAATATTAATTCATCATAATTGTTAATTATTTTTTTATTTGTTCTCTACTCCGACAGCATTGCAAGCAGCTCTTGTTGCGAGACATGGTTGTCCAGGGCGACGCAATCATTACAATAACAACTATTTATCCATAAAATCTAAACGATCAAATTCAATTGTAATTTAAACTTTACTACTGTCCATTTTCCACTCAAGGAATCTCTTGATCAGACAAAATGCATCAAACAACATAAGACGTAGTGTTTGTTGAAAGAGCAAAAGAAAAACATGTTATTAAACTATACTTTTATCGCAGTTGTCAACGCGGCAGTTGGTAATGTTGTTATTGTTCTATTATCCAAGTTTTCAGAAACGTATGTGTAATGTGTGTCTATCAAACCCAGCGAGAAAACAGAATATTAACGATGATCGATGGCAATCCTTATCCTTATAGGATTAAGATACAATTATTTTTCAATCGCACGAGTGTATCTTTAAAAGATCAATATTTCATAGACGAAAAAAAAAACTTTTCCCACAACTTGCCTCGTCGTCATTTTCATATATTTATATAATATTTATATACACACACACACATATGTAGAGCTGACGCGCATGTACATACACCCACACGCACTCATGCCCACACACGCGCAAACACACACACACATACACACATGAGTCGAAGTAGTGATGCATGAACACACGCGTTAAGAACTTTTCATATAATCGACGAAGATCCCGGAAGATTATCGCGGTTGCCAAAGTCCTTCCAAAGGTGCTTTAGTAACCGTATTCTATAAGGATAGCAGAAAATGAGATAATTTTTTTTGTCTATGCTCATTCGCACATTTAGCGGCTCTCGGCTTCTGCTTTGCAGAAGAATCACGGCTACGACGACGGTGCAGAAGAAAAAATTGATGTTTGTTGACTCTCTCGCTCTATTTCTCTCGATGATTCATTTAGTTTCTAACACGAGCTTTTTTTTTTCTTAGATACGCATAACGATTCGAGTAAACGATTACAGGTGTAAATTTCCAAAGTTCGAGTTAAGTTAAAGCCTTTTTCACTTGATCAGAGGAGAGTCGAGGTTCGGATTGGGATTAGGCTGCTGCTGGCTCGAGGAGCTGGACGGCGACGAGACCTGCACCACCCCCTGGCCCTTGTTGTCGTTGCCAAGGCCGCCGGAGGAGCCACCAATACCACTCATACTGGAGCTCGCACCGCCGGCAAGGCCACTTCCTCCCTCCTTCATCTTGTCGCAATAGTTGGAAAACACATCACGGAATTTGGCCCATGACTTTTCCGGCACGGTTATGGCTGTCCTAAAGTTGGTTTTCACCTGTGACCAGCCAAAACGATGTTAAACAAATATTCCGAAATTACAAATAAATGAATGAATAAAATAATACGCACCTCGGAGATTCTCATGTAAATGCCGCGGTTGTTCTGGCCGATGTCGAAGTAGAAATTTTTATTGTCGACGCGCATGTAGCGACCATCGGGAAGGTCGCCCTTGAAGCCGCCATCGTCGGTGCCGAATTCTTCAAGCAGGTCCGTGAGGGCGTCACGGAACTCGATCATACCCTGCGCGGGGATGGCTATCTGCGTTCTCGGGCCACCACGAGTTATCGTCTGTGACACCTGAAAAATCACAAACACAAAACGTTTATCACGATGGCCTATCTCTGCGCGAGTCAGTCGAGCTTGAGAAAAAGAGATCCGAGTCATGCAAGTTGAGTGTGGTTGTATTTAATTCTTTGATTTTTCTGTACAACTCTTGTTTGGCGAGCGAAGAGGAAAGAAATAGACCAGTAGAAATTTGAAAGGTTTAAATTATTTGCTGATCGGTACATACTGGGTGACTCACCCGCAGGAAACGACCGCGAGAGTTCTCTTTCAGATCTAGGTAGTACCGCCTGTTGTCCTTTACCATCATTTCCGATTTTAATTTGCCGTCGTCTGGCACGTTTTCCGGGTTTGGAGGACCTGAAAGATCACCAATGAGTTTTCGGTCCAAAGTTTAAATTTAAACACCATACAGAGCGAGTAACTCACCTAAGGACGCGTAGTAGTCACTGAACGTTGAAAGATGATCCCGGAATTCTGACGCGGTGCTCAGTGCTAGGAAGATTTGACTTCTTCTCCCATCGGCTCCAATCTGAAAGTTCAATCGGACAGAGGTGAAAATAGATTTTTTTTTTTTTAATCTACCATTGTAAACTAAGAGGGATTATGATTAAGGATGTCAGACCTCGGCGACTTTGATGAACCTCCCACGCTTGTTCTGCTTGACATCGAGGTAGAACCGTTTACTCTGGATTTGCAGCATTTTTGTCGCTAACTCCTGTTCTGCCTGCTGTCCTTGCTGGCCTGAAAAAGTAAATGATTTTTTTTTTTTTTTTTTCAACACCCATCAAATCACTTGTTTACCTACTTACAAACGAGTGTACAGTTTCAATTTAATTTTATCCATTTTTTAGCCACGGTATATACGTGTTTTTTTTTTTTAAACAATACCAAGTATAGGCGAGAGTGCAAAAGAGAAAAGTGTATACGCATATATCGATAGGTAGGTATATATATATGTCTGCCCGACTGGGTCAACCTGTATACGATCGAGCGGCCCTAATTCGACGCCAGGAGCGGCTCAAGATCATTTCGTACAGCACAAGTCGCATACACACCAGCGCATTACAGCGAGTCGAGCGAAAACAAAACCTTTTCATCGACTTTATACATATATATATATATATATATATAGAGCCATCGTTAATGAGATTTTACTACACATTATTATGCAAGCGCAGGTGTACCATCATCGTGCGCATTTGTAATTCATCAGGTAATTAGTAGACGAAGAAGAAAAGAAAAAAAAAAAAGCGAATTCCTGTGAAATGAGTTTGTACTGCACAGCTGATGAGAAAAATCAGCGCAGCCCCCGCTCGAGTGGGGGTGAAAAAAAAAAAAAAAAAAAATGGGAACAGAGAGAACGATGAAACAAATGAAATTTTCCAAAAGAAGGTCCCGGGAGAACGGTCAGGGAGCGCAACGTCGACCCCGAGTCGTCCTCTAGCCGATCAATAGCTGTGTGTGTGCACACCGAGAGCCCAAAAGAACACAAGATACGCGTGAATGTATTTTACCTCCATGCACTCAGGACCCGTTCGCAGCAGCCCCAAGACATCCCAAACATCATAGTTACAATATGGAACACAAATGTTATACATACACGTGCAGTTTGATGGTGTATTATACTGCACGCAAGTGCATTGATCCCTTTCCACGCAGCCGCCGCGACCTGTCGCCGTGCAGCGGCAGCGCCTCTTTCTTCTTCCGCGCCCCTCCCTCTGCTACATCAATACCCATACACGCCGCTTCCTCGCGTGCGTCCACGCGTTCCTGACGCAGACCTCCCCTCCCCCCCTTGCTTTTTTTACGCTGCACGGTGTGTACAGTAGCGCGGAGAGAAAAAGGATGAGTCAGCGCCCAGCTCATCCGATTCCCCGTACGAGAGCTGAGTCTGCTGCTCTTATCGCGGATGACTTAAGTGACCGATTACATAATATTATATTGTATGCATGGATATTATACACTGTGTTTACGCGTGTACTCTCCCCCCCCCCAAAACGTCACGCGACTCTCGAGTACTTTTATAATACGAGTAACGGGAGACCAGAGAACGTCTTAATCGCCGTACAGACATCGTGTGGGGGAGGGGAAAAAGGGGCGTACAACAACATTGTCCGACTATTTTCAGAGCTATTTATGTATTACGTTATTGTTTATCGAGTCTTACGTCTCGCTGCTCCCGCGAATTAAATGTCCTCTAAAGGGGAGTTTTTTTTTTTTTTTTTTTTTTAGATATAAAGGGGTACCGCATGAAAAAATTGACATCACAACTTGCTTCTCTCTGCTAATGAGCAGTGAACTTGGTTCAAGTGCGTACCCGTCAATCGGCGATTTATGTAAACTCTCTGCACGTGTACCGAGGCGGCAAAAATCAGATTGACGCGTCACGTGACTGATGGATAATTTTTTTGATCGATGAATTAAACTTTGGAGAGGCATCTTCGGAGGAAGGAAATTACGTGTGTGCGGGAATATTCGTGTATACCTTCTGGGTGCCAGTACTGTATTTTGCCCATAGTGTCGCCCCAGCCATTGACAGTCACCCTCCGCACGTCCCAGGTGGAAGGGACACGTGATTCGACGATAACTTTTTTAATCATCATGGACATCGTTCAACAGATTCTCGCGATTGTTTCGAGGATAAATCGTTTCGTCATTTAACCACCGATCGTCACAATTTTGTCGAGAGGAATCACCACGCGCGAAACACAGAAGCACACCACTTTGCTGATGTACCGATTGTCTGGCTCCGTTGCAATGGATTTGATCCAATACCTTTGAACAATTTCGTCAGAATTCAACATAAAACTTCGGACTCATTCAGATCCCTCCACGTTGTGGTATTGCCTGAATGAACAAACTACGACAACTCCCTTGAAAAAACAAACGTCACCCAAGTATGAAGTAGCAAGGAGAGCTTGCACCGAACTGATGGATTCGAGTCGAGCTTGCGAACTTGAAAAAGTTGAGGGGAAAGAGCAACCGGCAGCAGTGGCAGTAGCCGCAGCTATGACACATCGGCCCTCGCACGCTCGGGACGGTTTGAAAAAAAAAAAAAAAAAAAAAAAGAAGAGTGTCGAGAGGAGAGCACCGGTATCGTCCACGTCTACGTAGTTGCGAACAGCACCGCGACGATGACGTGCCGGTCATTCACGGAGCGGAGCGTCATGCCCGAGGAATGCGCGTATTATCATGGTGCCTGCGACGTACGCGCACACACGTACATGATGTGTAAAAGTAGCAAAGCGCAAAACTATATATCTGTACGCGTGTCGCAGCATCGAAAACCGATCGGATCGGCATCATCATCATCAGCAGCAGAGAGAGTATATAAGAATCCCTCGCGAGAGCGCCACGTGACACGGCGGGGCCACGTGATCGGCTTCGCCTCTTCCTTCCTTTTCCTCCACCTTCTCTGCTGCCAACTATAATATGCCACCCTCTCTGTGCGCGCATGCTGCAGCAGCCCGCCGCCGCTTCCCTGCTCTGCTCTCTCTCTCTCCTGTCCACGATATATAAATATATATACAGTGTGATGTGTGTGCTGACGTCACGGACACACAGCTGACTACTATCATCCTCTCTCTCTCTCTCTCTCTCTCTCTCTCTCTCGCGGTTCACTGCTTTTTACTGCAGAGACTCCTATAAACTATAACGTTGCTCATCTCCATTTTTATACCTTCCCCGAAAAGATTTTTTCCAACTCCCCCCCCCTCTCCTTCCTCCCTCTTGGCCCATCGCATATTTATACACATACACATAAAGCGTATCGGGTTACGGGTTACCTCCTCCACAGCTAATAGATACCTATTTATAATAACTTGTTCCTCTTCTTTCGTTGGCGCGCTAATACATACAGAGTAAGCTACATCATATTATATACTTTCCCTCCCCGAGGACAAGGAGAGCTTTCGACTTGCAGGGCGTTTTTTTGTCGCACGCGCATATCCACACACGCACACGCTCGATGCGAGGCTCTGCATATACTTATATGCTGCAACGGTTGGCTGCTCCTGCAGGGGTTTGCCTGCTGCTGCTGCTGCTGTTACCAGGCGCCGAATTCAAACGAGTTTCGCTAAAAAGGACGATCCCAAACGCTCCGCTTTTGCTGCAAAGCCAAGTGTCTTCCCCCCTTTCTCGTCACCCTCTCGCGCGACTCCTGTTTCTCTACCCTCTCTCTTATCCCCTCTTATATGTGTGCATTACCCGTGGGCATGTATGTACCTTATACCTGTTTTTTTTTTTTTTTTTTTTTTTTTTTTTTTCCAACTCACCAGCATCACAGTCGGCCCCACCAGCGTCCATGCCTACCGAGTTTCCGTACTCTGAAACAGAAAGAATGAAGACAAATGAATGATATTTGTGTCACAGTAAGGTTTAAAGTTATGGTATACAGGACAAACCGAAGGGGTGTAGGCTCATACGTTGCGCCTATACTTATATGAGCAGAACGCATATTGTAGAATGCAGTTGTCGACGTCACCCCGACACGCGAGCGAATTATGGGAGCCTCGTCCACCTTGTACCTATCTGTCATCGTAATTCCGCACTTTAATTACCTTAATTCCCCGTGACCGTGATGGGGAGGATCGGATTATCGCATAAACTATTATGTACACGAGGGGGAGGAGAAAATGACGGCGGACGTATAGGTGCATGTGTAAATATAAGTAGCAGAAGCGGAGGAGAGTCACGAGAGTGAAAAGGTAGGTATAGGGGTAAATGACTCAATTACTGCGCACTCGACGGTAACTGAAAATAAGAAAAACAGACTGCTTGGATATTGTAACACGTACGGACATTAATAACGTTCAATCCAGAATCATACTTTACATCATGACATTTATAATTGTTTAACTGAGTGACTCTAAACGAATCTAACCTACAAAACTTTGTAGTCGTGCGTAGTGATTGGTGCGCAGCAATTGGGTCTAGGGCTTCAGCATGAAAACCTTATGGGAGATACCCGCGCAGTAATTGGGGGCGCAGCGACTGGTGCTAATTTTATAACCGTGCGCAGTAATACCAGCAAGTGATATCAGCACTAAAACAATTATTAAAAAAAAAAAAGTTACTTAACAGAAAAATGTTTGTCGTTTTAATCGCACAAGATGCTGCAGATAAAGATTAAGTAAAACTGGTTCAATTTACATCGAAAAACATTGAGAAATGAGAAATTTAGTACAATCAAAAATTTCAGTGCGCAGTAATTGGGTTATTTACCCCTATATGCTCCAAATATTTTTATCCACTGTACGAAACAAGATGGGCTGTACGTATAATCGTTGCAGGTCTATACTCATATAGGCACGCGTTTCGAGGCCAAGAGTGTCTCTCTCTCTCTCTCTCTCTCTCTCTAGGATTTGCGGCACGTGCGTGCAAGCCTCGGTTTTTCAGCTGCTGCATAGATCAGCCTGCTCCGAAAACATTCGCGCGCGCGCTAAGTTACATACTTATATGTCGATTGGTCCTACGATCGATCTGCCGTTTTTTTTTTCTATTACCATTTAAATTTTGCGACTCGAATGATGACTGCTGGAAGTTACAACTGGGCTTGCGACGTTACATCACACGTGCGGCTTGTATTGTACTTGGGCCGAGAGAGAGAGAGAGAGATAAATAAAAGCTCTGCTCGCAGCTTATATTGTATAGGTGTATCGGTATGATACACTTGTCTCTGGAGGGGGAGGGAGATTCGAACCTGCGGGGCAAGGATTTTTTTGGAGCAGCAGGGACGATTGACAGCTGTTGCGAGGCGCGTCTCGCTCGACTGGACGATGGCCCTCTTCGGGGACTACAGGGGAGGACCTGGTTAAGGGAAGGGCGTGAACGGGTCTTCGGGAGAGAATGTAAAAGAGTGTACGCGAGGTATAGGTACGGGCGAGAGGAATACTCTGGCGAGGCTGCGGTGGCTAGTATAAACGTGCCTCTCTTCCTCTTGCTCGTCTCCTTTATACTACACTCTCTCTTACACTTTTGTATTCCCGTCGTCCCTCCTCGCCTCGTTGCTGCGCTCCCTCTCTTTCTCTCCCGCAAGCATGGCCGGCCATCTTGAATCCCCCGAGTGTTCCGTTGACGAAAAACGGCGGATTTAGCGACCCGGCTGACAGAAGAGGATACCCGAGACCGGGGACTTGGACCGTCCGGAGTCCCAGAGTGCGAGAACGGCTCAGGTTCGGCGCTCCAGCGCTGCCAAGCTACGGTACGGGGCCGCGAGCGTACTAGACCTGTAGGGTTGTCGTTGGCTATACTTACTCTGGGACTGGTCGTCCAGGCTCTCGCGGTCGGACATGTCGGCTGCTGTCGTTGGGCTGTGCGGTGTGCTGTTGTCACAGCACTTTGGCCTCTCTAGTGACGCTGCTGTGACTCGGCTATGGGCTACTTTTCACCGCACGCTCGGGCCGCTCCGGGCAGGCCTCACTCGCGAGGTCACGGAAAACACACGAGACACCGGAGACACTGACACGCACACTCAACACACGCTGATATTTATATATGTGTAATATTTTATACAATAGTACTATATATATGTATATAACGGCGAGGACAGCTTGCAGACAGGAACACTTGCACACCCACACACAAGTCACACGCGACACGCGCGTTCTCTCGGAGCTCGGAGCTTTATTGCCGTTGGTGCAGACGACCGGGCGCGGCAGTCCCAGCGATGACAACACACAGAGGTGAGGGCTTATACCAGCTTATTCTGCTGTCGGGGAGGCCCCGCGCGCGCGCACTCTCCCAACTCTATATATACCTGCAGCTGTCGACCCGTCGTCGTCGTCCCAGCTCCTTCTGCTCGCGCTGATGCTGCTTCATCCGCGAGCACTGATCACAGCCTGCAGCAGCCAAGATGTATATGTATATACACCTCTCTCTCTCTCTCTCTCTCCTGTTTCTCTGCTCCGTTCTGCTGCGCGCTGCACGCTCTCTCTCTTTTCTCCTCTCAACCAGCCCTCTGATGGCTCTGATGCCACTGCTTCTTCTGCTGATGGCCTCTATACCAGATCTTTCCCTGATGACCGCCTGCTATACGAGAGCTGATATGTGTGTGTTCAGCCCTCTTTTGCTCCGAAACTCCGACCGTCTGTTTCTCTCGCTCGCACTCGCAAGCACTGTATACACACGCGCTTTCGGAGTTTCGGCCCCTTCCTTCTCGGTAGGTAAGTGTGCAAGGGTATATATATGTTGTATTTAGGTTTGTCTACTGCTCTCTAATCTTTTATGTATGCTGATGTGATAGATAGGCTCCGTTTTCCATCACCTTACAGATCAGATCACCACTCTCTACTCGACAGCCTCATAAGTATGTAGATTTGCTTACAATTATATGTTGTTCCTTTTGTGGTTTTGTCGTTTTGTTTTGTGCTTGTGAAGTATCTGAGCCTCTAAGGGCGCCACATTACGGCATTTTTACAACCTTCCTGACCGGCCGAGCGTTGATGTGTGCCGCCCACGCACTTTTAAATCGTAAAATTCGGAATTGGCATCAAATTATTTTTTTTTTTTTTTTTGGTGAATTACGTACCCAATGATCTCTAGTTGGATTGCTTTCGTGTGCGGGGGAAAACAAAAAAGGTTTTACGGACCAAAAGTACCAATGCGTCGATTAAATGAGCAAGGTTGAAAAAAAAAAAAAGAAAAGGAAAAAAAACACAAATTAAGTACTCTGAACGGAAAAAAGAAATGAAAATTACAATAATGGGTTTAAACGGTGAAAAGAAATGTGTCGCATAATGAGAAATTCAACTTTTTCAAATCGTTTTATTTATATATTTTTTAAGCAAAACACAAAAGAGTTAAAGTACAGAGTTACTTCTTACATTCTGATACAGTAGTAAGTTTTTTTTTTTTCTTCATGAAATTGTACATCAACTTTGTTGTTAATAGGTGCAATGTTTATGTTATGTGTATCTCTGCGTGAAGTACTTTCATCAATTTATTTATTGATAAGCGTGTGCGGATTTTGGCTCACATTTCATGAATTAGTTTTACCGATTTTTCTTTGGTTAAGAGACTGATTTAAGAGTCAACTGGTTTATCAATTTTTCATTGTTTTTGGAGTGTATTTTTGTGACAAATGTTTTTTTTCTTTTTTTTTTTTTTTATATTAATTGAAACGGCAGAACAGTTGTTGCGCCTTGTCAGCCGACACACTTTTATATTTCGCGCGGTCACATAATTGTTTGGGGAAAAAAATTTTCACGGTCGATCGGTTAGAAAAATGCACACAATAAGGCACACAATTGATGCAATGCGCACTTTGATAATAGCCATACATACGTGATATTGTTATTNTGACATATACTCGGAGTGATAATAATAATATTATTATTATTACCATATTAATATTATTATTATCATTACTATTATTTGTACACACAATCGTAACATAAAGCACTTTCCTAATCGTCTTAGTCATTTTTTAAAAAAACGAAAAAGGTACAATATAATAATAATATAACCGAGTATACACAAGAAAGAAGTGCGCCATGGCTTGTGTAAGACTGGAGACGATGCGGAAAACTTTCTGACAAGAGGATATGGAGTGAAAAACGCATGTATATATATGAATAGGTAGGGTACGTTTATAGGTCTGACTTGATTTTTCCGGAGAGAGATTGAGGTCTCAGCCGTATTTACAACATTTTATGATGAGATACAAGATGCAAAGTGTCCTGCGCTATCGCTATTCGTTTTGATCCTTGATATCTTCATTGCGCGCCATTCCGATCCGTCGGACCCAACGACATATTCCCCAACATGCTGCGGTGTCAATAATATTAATTGTCAGTAACAAGTGTTCTTACCTGTGATAATAATATTTCAATTGTGTTAACATGAGCTAATGTTCCTTTTTTTATCAATATTTTAGCATGTTTTTTACGTTTTCGTAAATTACGCCGCACTAAATTTTTATGGGTAATGATATACGCTACCTCCTACCACATAACTATATGCATGCGCAAATGTGACTGTGTATTTGTATTTTATGAACTTTTTATCCGATTTCTGTACATTTTTCAACAAGCACGTATACTGTTTCTATATACATGATTCGCTTACACAATAACTATATACCTTCCACTTATTCATTCCTTGCAGTTTTACTTTATTTTGCAGCACTTTTTAATCTTTAGTCGTTTGAATTTTTACCAAGTTTAGCTTGATTATGTACCTCTAAGATTACTAAGCTTTTTAAAATGCACGAAATATTAATGTCTAAAATTCTAGCAAAGTTACATTGTTTGGATGTAATAAAAGAAAAAATTCATCAAGTAATCTAAAATTTATCATGCGTTTACTGCGTGCAAACTTTGGTAACGTAAATATTCACAAATAAATTTTAATCGTAATCAAAAGCAGCTGGTTAATTATTGTCAAAGCTGAGATGAATCGTTAACAACATATTATATCTCATATCGACGATAGCGCAGGCGCGTGTTTGTTCGCGCTAACGATCTTTGGGAACACACGTTTGTTTTGAACAGTTTATTAGAAAAAAAAAAAAAAAAACTATGTTAGCCTCAATCACACTTTCTATATTCAGATCACCAATAACAAGAACGATAACAATCATAAAAATACGCCACTTTGGTATTTTTTTATTTTTGTCAGCCTTCACCGACTAGCTTCTAACATTTCGCTTTGTTTTCTTTGTTCATTTTTTGTTTTAACTACAGTTATGTGTTGAAAATCAAAACAAAAATGTCAAACTGTATCATACGGAAGTTAGACCCATCACTAACTCTGCAATTTGTTTTGCCCCAAGCAATGTAACAAGATGTTGCTGAGTACTTTTTTTACTCATTTTTAATATTTATAAATTTAATTATCATCACATCTAAGAGAATCACACCAAAGTGAATCTTGATGAATGATGAAACAACTATAAATGAGCACAGTTTGCTTCTCAAAAATACCTACTTAATTATAACTTGGTGTAGCCAAAAAATCAAGTAGTACAGTAATATAACAATAATAATAATTAGGAACCTTGACAGACATTGTTCAAAATCGTCTCTTAAAAGAGCTAAAGAAATATGAAATATGAAAAAAAAAAAAAAAAATTCTATGAAGAGCTAAGAAAATGGTTATAATAATCTATCGCCACTGCATAATGGTATATGCACTAAAACTATTAATACAGACATTACTCGCATGCTGTATCAAAGGACTTCATTGTGATTTGCAGGTGAAAACGCTGATATGCTATTTACAAACGCAAAGCTCATTGGAACACAAAATTTTTGTCAATTTACCATTCAACACTTTTTAATCGTCTTATTTCTTCATGACATATACTCGGAGTGAATGCTCAAGGAAACTGATATATTTCACCACCCTCTTGATAGACTTTTTTCAGATTGTTTGAAACTTAAGTTCGAATCGTAAGTTTCTTTCCTCAAAAAGTCCCAAAATAATATTAAAAGCCACCAGTTTTTCTTAACTATTTTATCGATATTATAACACAGCATCAATCGGCTGTTGACTAAATCCGTAACAAATATTTATCATCGTGTAAATAATAGCAAAGGACGGCGATTACGAAAACACTCCTTTGGTCATTGAATATTGCAGCATACTGCCTTGCAAGGTACAGCGCCTTCCCTATCTCGATTGAATAAATGGGATCTGTCGAATTTTCCATTGATTGCTGCAAAAGGAAAAGACCTGTCAGTGTAACAGCTCTCGTAAGCTTCAAATGCCTCATCGATTGGCACTCGGGACCCATCGTCTCCAATACTCTTTGCCTTAATTTCAGTCACCCTCATTTCTATCTCTTCCAAGCTGGAAATACTTTCAGTAGTTTGATCGGAATATATATTTGGCGCAGCGCTCGAATCTTCATCATTCGAAGCTGCGTTACTATCGCTGGACTCGTCCTCGACGACCTGCAATCGGTAATACATTTGGATATGCTCCATTCTATCGAATACCATTTCATCATCCTTATTCATAAGCAAATCATCATCAATCGATTCATCCTGTAACATTTTTTGCAGAGTCATCACTGGTTCGACTGTTTCTGCCTCCCAGTATTCGAGGACATCCGGTTCCTCGATACTGCCCCAAGAGCGTTCGCGCTCGTCTTCTGCTGTGCTGTTACTGTTTTTTCGTTTGACTTCTTCATCAACACATTTTTTCATCTTTTCGTCTAGCGTAGGCGCAACGAGCAGCAACTCACCGTCCATCGAAACTACAATCTCGCCTTTTTCGAATGTTTTCACCGCCACTACGTCTCCGATTCGTTTGCACATGCAATCATCCTCTTGCGAATCAAACTCCCCTTTCGCTCTTTTCGCATTGATCCGAGAATTTTTAGCAACCCTCATACCCGCATCGCTATCCTCGTCGGTAAATTCGCAACTCTCGTCAATCTTCCTTTTCAATGGAATTCTTGATGTCTTCGTGAAAGGGATCATGGTGACAGAAATGTATGTATGATCTTGTGCCACAGCTGAAAAGTTTCCAATTAGCATTTGAAAAAAAATAACACTAAACATTGGTAAAAGAGACTAAAAATAACGGGAAAAAAGATACCGTATTTGTTTGCCCGCTCCACGCATGAATCATCTAGATCCTTGGCGTTGCACCTGTGACCCTTGGCATCTTTCTTCTTGGCACCTTTAAAATTTCTGACTTTTCCCTTCGACGAGACATTTACTGGCAGCTCGTCATCGTCAACTCCAGCCCGATGGTCGGGGCTTACGAATTTACCACGGCTAGGCTCGCGCTCTTCGGCGACGCCATTAACAGATAGTGCAGGCATGGGGTTGCCTTGCAAGTTTTTTGACGGCTCGTTGCTCACCGCTGCGTCCAACTCCTCGTCCTCCTCGTCATCGTCATCATCGTCGATATCATTTGTTGCCGAGGAAGTGATAAAAAGGTCCGGCGAATTGACTCGTTTGAGCCACTCGTTGACCGCATCGGAGATCGGCCGACCCGATACCTCGGTAGGCTTAGGTTGGCTCTCGATGCCAGAGTCTTCATCGATTGCCGGTTGTGCCACAGCTGTATCGGTTATCGTCTTTGTCCCCGTCGTCGTCATCGTCGTCGTCGTAGTTGCTCTGTTGTTCTCGTTACAACAACTCTCGAAGGTGATTGAGCTTTCGTTAATCCATGTCTGACAGATATCTAATTAAAAGTAGAATGTCGCACTCAATTAAACGCAGACTGTAAAAAAGATTAGTACAATTGCCGCATGCATTTTCGACGCACGTGTGTATGGATTTCATTATGCCCAGTAAACATTTTCAAACAATTAAATACATTTTAATACGTGGTTAGTATACAGATCGAGAATGATGATGAACAGCAGAATAATGATAAAAAAAAAAAAAAATTAACAGCCACACCAAAGTATCATTTTTAGTAGGAAGGAATTACAAAAAAGTATATATAGAAAGGAAAAAAAGAAAAAAAAGTTTAACGATGGGGAAGAGGGTTGAAAAAAGCGGAAGATGTTTACTGCAATCGTGACGGAGCATGGCTGCTTACCCAGATCCCCATCTTTTGAGATTGCTTGCGCCTCGACGATGGTCGCAGAGTTGATCATGTTCGTAACGTCGTCGACGGACCTTTCTTCGTCCTCGGCACCATTTGCCAGAGCTACGCTCGGTGATTCCTCGGGCTCAGGCGTTAGCTCGAGTTCCGGCCCGGGCGTTGGTTCGCGCACGTACTTGAGCGTTTTGGCGTTGTACTTGGCTCGGCTGGGCGAAGCCGTGCTGCTACTTCTGCTGCTACTGCTGCTGCTACAACTATCGAGGGAGAGTCGTGCCTCGGGGCTCTCGGTCAGTCTTTGCGAGTCACCGTTTGCCAGCACCTCATCGGCGAGGTCACCGTTCGTCAGAGGCGTGACTCCGTTCGCCGCCACCTCGTCTTCGGGGGTAGCTGTTGTTGCTCTCGGCTCTTCGTCGGTCAGTCTTTTCAGTTCGTTGTTGGTGTGGTTCTCGAGCACCGGAACCACTTGGGACTCGTGGCCTTCGGAGAGTAGTTGCTCGCCATTGCCGTTCATTTCGGCAACCGGCAGGGGCGAGGAAGTGCACTCTTCGAAGGCCAAAACGTGGCTCTCCGAGCCGGGGTCGTCGTAGACATCCAACTCGGGGCTGCGCAAGTGAAACTCTTGACACTCCGGATTCAGAGGTCGGCTGATGTTGTTGCCACTGTTGAAATCCAGCGTCGTCGTGGTCGTCGCAGCCACAGTCCATGAAGATCGGGGGCATGAGTAGCCGTTTTCACCCTCCGAACTGAATTCCTCGTCCTCGTCCATGTTACCCTGTACATAAAACCATACACATTAGAAACCATTGGTATACATCTATTTGTCTCGCTGTTGCGTCAAAGAATACACTCACGGGTATACGCCTCTGCTTTTTCTTCTTTTTCTTTCTTCTGCGCTTGATGCAAGCCACATCCGCAGAGCTCGCCATCACGTCGCTGTACCTGAGCATGGGCGCACTTTGCATCGTGACGCCTTGGACAGGAGAAAAAAAAAATATCCAACATTACCAGAAAGAAATAGCCCAAAGATGAAAATTATGCACGAGCTTAATGATCAAGTATTTTATTTGCAGTCTAATATTGCATGTCACGAATCCTAGCTCTAAAATAAAAAAAAAGTGTGTGACGTTTGATTGATTGGAGAGAGAGGAGGTATAAAAAAACAGAGCACAAAGGGAAAAGGAGCGCTTCGCTTCGGGAAGGCATGTAAATAGAGTAAAACGCAAAAGCTGTACAGAGGGGGTACAAGAATGAAAAATAAACACACTCGCGAGCAGGAGGGGATGTGCGCTCGGACTGACGCGTATCACACGGGAGCTTCGGTCTTCGTCGCGGTCTTTTTAAGCATCGTGTCTTTCCATGCCCGGTTGTACGAGCGCGAACGCGCTATTGGCACGCTCTTGTGTTTCTAATGTCTCCATTTAGAACACGGAGTAATGCGGCGACGGCTCTGCCAAACGCACTTATTTTCTTTTTTTCCCCCGCGTTCAATTGCAAGATCTCGCGCGACAGCTGTTTCAACCTTTTTTTCTTTTCTCGTTATCCGTTTATTTGTTTTACTTTGTCGAAACTTTGGCTTGATCAATCGATGCTTTTTTTTCTCCCCCCGTTCCTCGAATAATTTTGTATACCCTTTGGTATGTGTGGGAGAGGAATTGCAAAATCGGCAATCAAAAGGTCCTCGTAAAAAGCTGTGGAATCGAAGGGAAGGTCAGGTAAGATTGAGAGAGAGAGAGTGAGTGCTTTAAACGTGTGTGCGGCGTGCCACGTAAACGTCATCTAAATGAGGTGAGCAAGGCTCTCTACTGGTAATGCTTTCAAAGTGCAAACACACATGAAGAAGAAAATTAATCGCGCTTGACGAGCGAGATTTTTTACTTTAGACGACAAAAACTTTGGTCAACGACGAAAATCGAGAGAGGTGAAGTATAACAACCATTGCCACCTTACGTGTTTGACAAAAGCCGCGTCCAAAGATGAAAGTCTCGCTCCGCGAATGATTTGATCAGTTACCTTGATTGTGGCAGAGGTACTGCGGTTATTAAACAGCAATAGTGTCGGTGGACGGGACAACAGCAGTCATAAACCTGAGTACGTCCGGAGCCCTTGGCCGCGGCGAAACGTCCGAGCGACACTGCTCTCGGTTAACATTAGAAACAGATACGGTCAAGCCTACGGCTACGGGCTAAGCAAGCACGACTACAGTGTAATATCTACGTTTCGTTCCCGCTAAGTAAAAACGATCTCTCAAATAATAAAACTTTCCTTCTGGAGCGCATCTCATTTTGTAGACGTACATGACGAGCCAGCCAGGACCGATGGATCACGTATATACGAAACATTTGTCGAAAAAAAATCAATAATAGTGATAACAAAAAACTTGGTCGCTCGCTGCCTCGCTCGTCTAACTGTGACGCTGGCTCGATTCAAGCTCCTCGCGGAGGCGAAGATAAATCGAGACCCCGGAGGTGTTTATGTTTTTTAAGGATCGATCAATCTACGAAACATCTAATAGTCCAGAACAAGGATATCTGCTAGCGTGTCCGCAAGGCAAGCAGGTACGATGAGGAAGGGAGTAGGGATGCATCCAGGATAATGTACAATCCAACTAACCGTTGACGTTGATCACCGAGGGCCCGAACATGTACTGGCCCGGATAGATGTAGGGCTGGCCGAGGGGCTGAGGCACCACGTGGTGTCCGAGGTGGATCGGCTGGGCCGGCAGTGTCTCCACGTACTCGACGGCCTCGGGCACGTATTCCAGACCCTCGGGCGGCTCCAGCACCTCGTACGTCTCGAGGGTCGTGGCCAATGGCTCCGACAACTCCTGGAGCTCCGCCAGCGGTTGCTCAGCCTCTGGGATAAATTGATGGTGGCAGGAGTCGTCGGTGACGACGCCGTTATTATCAACGAGGCTAGTCTCCTCGTCCACCATCTGCGCGTCACCGTTCGCGGATTCGACGATTAGCGAGTCCGAGACGCTGTCGAGCTCGTGATGGCTCAGTCCGTTCGTCGTTGCCGGTGTCATTACCGCAGCGGATGACACGACCGTGGGCTCTGCCATGCTCAACGGCACGCCTTGTGTATCCACCAGGGCCGCGCAGTCCGGTCCCTGCGCCGCCTGCAATTACAGTAAATTCAGTGAGCCTCTGGGCCAATAGTACATGTATATAAATGCTGGCAGGTAAATAAACGCACCTGGTAATCCATGTAGCAGTACTGTTGGGAGGCGAGTTTTGGCACGAAGGCTGGATTGACCCACTCGATGGGTCGGAGGGGCACGGGGCCGCAGGGCATGGCCGCGAGCACGTTGGGAGCGAGGGGCTCGGGCACGGCCGGGCCCACCAGCATCATCGGGCACTCGTAGTAATAGCCACTCGCGTGATCGTAGTAGGTGCCGTAGCTCAACGGGGGCGGGGGCTCCATTACCATCTCACCGACCACGTTGCCGTCAAGCAGCTGCTGATCCTCCGCCGCCTCGCTGCCATCTGCACAAATTGGGGTTTTTTTTTCGTTAGTTACATATTTTTTTTTACTACGACTGTTTGCAGTGTGCGGTATGCCTTTTGCGAGCAAATCTATTGACTAAAACTAATATAGATCAAGTCATTCAATTTCATGAAAGTAATTAGAAATAATTTTGAATTCTGAAGCAAAAAGCGCCCTAATAATATGTTGTAATTCTGTCTCGGGACAGGGTTTCTCTAATAAACTTCTACGTAATGTAATAGTTTTTTTAATAAACAATTATGAAGACTGTCGTGCTATTTCATTTTACGACGACAATAGCACAGCAATTATATTTGACAGAGTTTTTTTTCTCCAGTTTCGCGCTTGCAAGAAGACAGAGTATTCCGCGGTAAATGGATTATTTTACTCATACGGACAAAATTACAGAAGATAAGAAACAAGATAGCAGCTTCTTATTCAAGAGAAGTATCTCTTGTTGTTCCTTGTAAGCGTCAATACACGCTAAATAAAGTGCAATGATAAGTGTATGTGGGTGTGTAAGGCCGGGGTGCAATGAATGGTTATTATAGTATTGATGTTCCAGCAGCCAATCCAGAGCTCGTGCCTCCAACTACTGAGAGAATAATGATAAATAAAGAAAAAGAAAAGTAACAATGAGAGAAAGAAAAAAAGAAAGAAAAAGGGGTATAAAAGCATGAAGCAGCAGCGGCGGGTATACCTCTACCTGCGGTCGAGTGGGACGCCGACTGGCTCTCGGCGGTGGAGGGTGTGGCGCTCATGCTGGCCGCGCCGCTGGTCCAGGGCTTCCTCTGGGCGAGGTAGCTCTTCTTGAAGAGCATGTCCTGCCGGGGTGTGGTGATCCTCGTGTACTCGTCCTCGTTGAAAACGATCTTTTGCCGACCGGCACCTGCTCCGTACCCGGGCGAGTAGCCATTCGCGGAGGAGTCGTCGCGGCGCGAGCGCGAACCACCGCTCGCGTACCCGCTGGTCGTACTGCCCGCGGCGCTCTGGTGGCCGTTGTTGCTCCCGCTGCTACCGTTGCTGCAACTGCCCGCGCTGCCGTGGCGCGACTTCAGCCAACCGCCCGAGGTTGGGGGGCCGTAGCCGTTGTGGTGGCTGCTGCTGCTACGCTCCCTGCGCTCGCCCGAGTAGTGCTGGTGGTGCTTCGATTGCCCGTAACCGTTGCGAACGCCGGTCCCTACTCCTTCTCCTTCCTCCTCGTCCTCGTCTCCCGGTGGGGCTGCAATCGGACAACAATTTCATTACTTATACTCACAATTTGTTGTTTGTTTTGTTTTTTTTTCGCTTCGTTTACTCTTCTTTTTTTTTTTTTTTTTTTTTTTTTTTTTTTTTTTTTTTTTTTTTTTTTTTCTCAATTTCCTCAACCCCCCACTATAGTATAAAAGATAATGTGTACATCATCGTATTGTGTACGCATGAAATAAAAAAAGGCAGGTGCCCATTAAGAGCTTTTATGTAATCGTCGTCAAAGATCGAAAGCTTCACATATAGAGCCAACTTTTTCGCACTTAACATGCACACACACACACACACTCACATCATATTAAAAAGCATCGGGATACGGGAGGGCAGGGGGTGAAAGTAGCCGAACCACAATACAACCTATCGGATGATGACTTGTTGAAAGGGAAAAAAAAGTGGTGGTTACAAGGTATAGAGAGAAAGAGAGCGAAAAAAAAATAATATATATATAATATACCATTTCGGTAGCTCCGTATGAGCAGCGCGTGCTTCGACGAGCCGATTACGCGGTTGATTTTGATCCGCCGTCGCCACTGCATATTATTATTGTCGACGCTGTTACACTGCAGGCTCGCGCTCTTTTTATTATCAATTCACTGTGATGCGACTACACCTATACACAAAGGCCAATGTGTACACGCGTGTATATACACGTAGGCGTGAAGAAGCACAAAAGTGTGCGTCCGTTGGAACACCGATTATGCCAATGAGTGGGAAAACAAACTGCGGAGATCGAGCCCGGCACGTACATATATACATGGACAACGGAACCGATTTATTCGTGATGGATGCCACTTGACGGGGGAGAGAGAGAGAAAAAAAAAAGGGCGCGCACATACAAGTATACGTCGGACGGTTGCTTCGATTATTACCCTTCGGTCTCTTCTTCCGCGTCGGTGGTGGTTTTTTTGTCCGGTTGTTTTTGAGGAAGAAAGAAAAAAAAAAAAAAAAAAAAAAAGATACAAAAGCTGCACGTCGAGAGAGGGGGGTTATTCTACGTGGTCGTGTACAGTGTCGGCCCGAGAGAGGCGCACCACAGCGCGGCTTGGACTAGAATACTGATACTGACAGAAATAGCCATCCCCCGGACCACCACCCGTCGCCGTGACGAACCGATGGCGAGCTGCCCAAGTCGTCGGGGCAACGCAGAGAGGAAGACCAAAAAAAAAAGAGAGAGAGCCAAGTCCAGCCTCGTCGCCGTTGTTGCTCTCTCTCTCTTTGCGTGTAGCCATCATCGTCGTCGTCAGGGTTAAGGAAAGAACGTTCGGGGCCTCTCGGGAAAATTTAAACTCGATTATCAATGAAGTTGCCCACGTAATACATACTCGCGCGCTTTGCGTTCGCCGCTCCGAGGGTGCACGATTTCAGCGATCTGTGTATATATCGGTAAAAATCAATGAATCCTCTATCATCATGATACTGCAACGCTTATACTATTTCGTGGGTATAATGTTTATCCCGTTGGACTCGAGGCCTCTTGTAAAACTAAAAAAAAAAAAAAAGCTGCTCCAATTTTCTTCACACGGATAAGTATACACGGGCCAACTCGTGTGAAATTGCGTTTTTTTTTTTTTTTTTGTTTTTCAACACCAATCTGTGAATCTTGGTAACGTGTACCTAAATAGTTAAAGACAGGAAGGGGGAGGGAACCCTTCAAAATTTTAAAGCCCAAAGGTTAAGGACCCTCCGCGTTACACGCGATTCGCGCGGACGCTCTAAGTAGAGCTAATTGATCCGCAACCCCAAGCTTTTCGTAGCAGATGTGATTTTTGTTCTCTCTTATTTCATCTCGACTCGTCTACCCGCACCGACGAGCGAGAAAATAATTATACATAGAGAGGAAAAAAAGCGCCTTCGTCTACGCTTGTCGTATGGCGCGCTCGTTCGACTTGGTAAGCACGGATGTATACAACATGTGCTCTTACGAAAAAAATAAAAAAAGTATATTCGATGCAATAAACACTCGAAGCAACGCGGCTCGAGCGAAAATTGAATCGTCACCTCGTATCGGTGGCAAAAAAAAAAAAAAAGCAGTACCTATTACCATTAACCAGAGAGCTTTACTATCGCTTGCTACATATACATGTACGGCGACGAGACTCCGGCTCAGCGTGAGGCATCAGTTCGATTTTCAAGCCACGGCAACGCATAGAAAGCTTCTATCGCCCTGTAGGTCCGCGTACACTTGTATACATACAATGTTGTTATACATATAATATGCTCTCGTGTGTGCAGCCGTGCTCCTCCTGCATGAAAGCGTCAGGCATTTCGAGCCTCGGTATTTGTGCGCCGCCAGACCGAGGGGCTAAAGTGTTGGCCGTCTCGAACAACCTCCTCCTCGCTCCTACCTAGCGTGTATATAGGGGAGAAGGAAAAAAAAAAAAAAAAAAAAAGAAATTGCCTTCCTTATTCGACCCAAAGTAATATATAATACATCAGCCCGCTGCGATACTTTTACGCGGCGAAAACATCGTTGTTATGTTGTTGTTTTTTCTCCTCCGAAAGCTCACCACGTGTACTTACTCGCCATACGTAACGGCTACGTAAGCGAATTGGGCGATTATTTTGCGGAGCTGTTTTTTTATTTTGACACACGAGAAAGGGAAGAAAAAAATATTAGAGCGTAGCCAGGAAATACCGATTATATAGGTACACAAAAACTTGGCGCAAAAATGCGTGCGACAAACGAAGAAGAAGTAAAAAAAAAAAAAAAAAAAAAAAAGGGGGACGAGTATCGCACATTTGTCGGGAGGAGCTATGAGCCGTTGCAGCCGGCCAACAGTAGTGTCTGGTTGCATATTACGAAGAACGAGGAGAAGAAGAAGAACAGGGTGACGAAATGAAGTATGGATTTTACCCAAGACACCAAGCTGCTTTTTCCTTTAACTTTTTTTTTTTTTTTTTTTTTAACCTACTCGAACTTAGGTGCACTCCAACAGGATGAGTTTGACTTATTTTCTCCTATTACGCAACCTCTCTTTTTCACGAGACGAGCTGTAGCGAATGAGCTAGAGGGAGCGGTGGAAAAACCGTTCAAACAGCGACACACTAGCTACGAGGTAATTAAGCAAGAAAGGACAATATACGGAAATACAGTTTTGAGAAAATGGAATTATGTATACACAAAGGAAAACAGAGTTAACGAGAAAGGAAAGAAAAAAAAAAGGGGGGGAGCAGCACACGAGTCGCACGTATACGCGCGCGGTCATTCGGAGCGCGGGACCATTTATAGAACTGCAGAACACGCATAATATTGTTGTCGCAGAAATTGTTTGGCTTTCGTACCGACTTTGTTATCTCGAACTTCAGGCGCAGGCTCTTTCGTCCTGCCTCTAAATCACATTTTTCTCGCGACAAGTATAATTGTGTTTACGGTGAATTTTCAAAAGAAAAGGCACGTGTGTGTTTTGCAATCGCTGTATATAGAAGCCACGTATAGGGGTAATTACGATAATCCGCGTCATATCAAATGGCTCGCGCGAGACAAATGGGGGATTCACGAAACGCGATACACGCGGATTAACAACGATCACACCAGAGCGCGCCACGTCACATCCTTACTTTGCTCTTTCAAATTAATTTTTTTTTCCCTTTGTGTTTTTTAATATACTTATGACCCGTACCCGCACACATGTGAATGCATATGTCATATGGGAGGAAAAAAAACATTGTCCATCCAGCGACGCCTCGGGATTAATCATCGCGTGTGTAAGCAATACCTATATTTGAAATACAATGCATCTGCTTTCTTTTGAACGATTACGAAACAATTTTATTATTACCGTCGTAATTACTGTTTATTACAGCAGTAATTTTACTCATTAAATTTACGAGATGTACTAGTGAGCGCAAAGTTTTCAGTGAAAAAACGTGTGGAGAATTTTTCTCTGGCGTGTTCTTGGGAGGAAGAAAAAATTACGGTGACGCGTATAATAATAATTATCATGTGTGTACTTGCAATTTATTTCACAATTGTAACAAACTACGATATGAAAAATGCATTCATCAATTATTCTAAGGTATCGGAGTAAAAAAGAAACGCAATACGGTGTAATGTCCCGTCGTCGCTTTTAAATTGTGGAACTAAGATGCTTTGATAAATGCAGGTGCACGAGTTTTTTTTTCATCCCGTAATGGCATGGTTAATTCATTAGAAGAAAAAAAAAAAAAAGAGAATGATTAAAAATCGCAATCCACGAACGTTACGAGGCAAGAATTTTATTTTCGAAACAATACCAATAATAAAAATCGAAGCGATATATATAGCTGAGAGCGTATACGAGCGTATACATGTAACGGCCATCACGAGGACAATTTCATCTGATTACACCGGATTGCAAGACGCTTCGTTGCATGCTCGGGCCACTACTGTTTACCAATGTAGCACATGCAAAGAAATTAACCAAAAAAAAGTACGAAAAAAAAAAAAAAAAAAGTAAGAATAGAAAAAAACACACGACAGTCATACGTCAACGACCGGTTTTTTGCGAACAGATGACATATAGTATTATCGGCGCGTTGGTATTACGCAACAAAACTCGCATGTATAGATGTATAGTACTTTATATACATCTCGCTGATGTGCGAGCGCCAGGAGGAGAACGAAGGTTCGAAACTGCAGGCAGAAAAGTTCACGAGGGTAGATTTTTTTTCGAAAATCTCACGCAAAAAGGTAACGACCCAAAAGATAAGAGCAGCGCTTCTAATGCAGACGCATCATGTGTGCGTGCAAGTGCAACGGTTTGGCGTCGGACACACACACACACACACACACACACACACACACACACACACACACACATGTGACCAACCTCGTGGTCGTTCACGTGAGCTATTCATATCTCCTCCCGATGTTTTACGCGCTCGCACGCATAAGTGCATCGGCAGAGGAGGAGGAGGAGGAGGAGAATATAGAAGCCGACGCGCGCTCATCTGCACCAGACAGACAACTTCAGCATATAGTCCAACATAATACACATTAGGTACCAATCATCGCGTAATCGGTGGTGCTAATGACGATTTTCGGGATCGAGAACGAAAAAATCGGCCCATTTGGACATACGTAGTACATACCGATTTATCCTCGCTACTCGCTATGTCGTTGTACCATGTGCCCGGTCAATATACACATACAAGTGCAATAAGCGAGAGAGCACTTGTTATTAGAGAGTTCCCAAAATTCGGCGCTCTTACATAACAATCCTCGCTCGCGCCCGCGTCTAATGTGTATATACTCCGGTTTCTGTAATGCCGGTTCGCGTGTAAGTGTGTATAACACGTATATGGTGCGAAGAAGCACATACAAAAAAATGCTTCATTTGTCCCAACTTTTCATAATTCGTTTGTTATTGTGAATCGCCTTTTTTTTTTGACATTCCCTCTCGGTGATTTTGGTACATAAGTACAGTGTGTTTGATGCGAGAGAGGTGTGTTTGATCGAAGGAAGGTTCCGTTGAAACGAGCATTAAAATAATATCTTCTCGCAAACTTGACCGCAGAACGAGTTTTCTAAATTGGCATGAACTAATCGCGCGCCTATCTATTATAAAACGCATGTACATACACATCCACTTTTTCATAGCAACCGGCTACACGTGTGTACATATTATGATATATATATAGCATCGCAGAGAACCACTCGGTCAATTATCCGTCGCTGCAACGGCTCGCTTCGTTTTTAGTTGCGTAATCCCGCGAATCCGTCAGGTCTACGGTCTACACAAACACGTGCAAACGCCGCTCTTTCTATGTAATATACCATCCGACATTTTTTACGCATTCAATTCCAATAGATCCTGTTAATTTTTTTTTTTTTTTTTTTTTTTTTTTTTAAATTAAGACTGTATACGACTTATGCTTTCTCGTGTTTGGAGATCCATTCCTAATTGAAAAGGGTTTGGGTACACATTGTATACGATTCGAGGAATTGTTTCTACATAAGGGTACGGAGCTAGTGAATAAGTAAAATCCATCATGACGAACGACTAGCAAATATTGTACAAAAACAACAGCTTATACTTATGGGAATACATGGCATTGTTTACTGTTACGATTACTGTACAAAGTTATTGAATATTCCTACTTTCTCTATAACTATTTATTTTACTTACAAAATTTCAATGCAACATGTTGCACGATAATACCATATGCGACCATTTGCCCCTTCCATTGTGTAAATTTTTTATGACTTCCTGAGTTACATTTTTGATTTTTTGTGAAAAAACAGTTAGAAAAAAAAAAAAAAAGAAAAGCTCGCTCTTCCGATACCTGCTCTAACGTATCGTGTACGCACTATTACGCGGCTATCACATAAACACCGACGTCCACGGCATAACGAACATACTTAATAATGTACGTGTGTAAAAGTGCTGGACATAGGAGTGTGTATATATAGGGGTATACCCGTTCTTCCTTGCTATTGGCATCTTTTGTCAACTGTTGCATGTCCACGCGTACTTTGCCATTGTGGTCGCTACGCTATGTGCATTATTGATATTATTAATAATACGTAACAATGCGGTCTCCTCAGTATTAAATATTAACTCGATAACAAAAAAGAAAAAAAAAAAACATGCACATTGATAACATGGTTGTCCAGGCAAAAAAAAAAAAAAAATTTTAAATAAGCTTACAGATTGCAAGTCATTGTGATTTTTAGGGTCACTAAGAAAGTTACTATTATAAAAAAAAAATAATTATTCGTTTGGGGAGAATTATCCGAAATTAATGAGTAATTGATATTGTCATGAGCACAGTAAAAACAATTTTGTATAATATTTGGGGTGGATGCAACTACATTTCATATGTATATATTTCCAAGAATAAAATGTATTAACTCATGTTCGTCTGAATTTCATTTTCCTACAGACACAAATCCGATCGAGACTAGAGACGCGACGTCTATCGATTAGTTTTCCCGTAATGAGTCGGCCTCCCTCTTCTTTTTTTTTTCTGGTATACTGACAACTCCTCGTCCGTCCGTCTTTCTTTCTTTCTTTGCTTCCTCCGATGGTCGAAACGCCTATAGATCGCCAAGGGAGGAGAAAAACTTTCCGTTTATTTATGAGGTGCCACCGCTAACGTCCACACATACACACACGCGCACACAAAATCCAAGTCGATCGGCCAAGTTTCCATCTATTATAAATACCGCGAAATCGCGAAACTTTATCATTGTACTCGATTCTCCGTTTGCACAGCCCTACCGAGAATAAAATACAAATTTATCGCACACTTGTTAACGCGTTTGCGATGAAAAAAAAAAAAAAAAAAAAAAAAAAAAAATGTAATTGAAGCGTGAAATTAAAAAGTGCAAGAACAACGGCATGGGTACGATATGCAGTATAGCTGTAAATTTTATCATCACGAGTGCAGTAATTGAAAGATTCTGGTTGAATTGCTTGCAGCGCGCGTCGTCGAGCGAGTGAATGAGAAATAGGCTCAGCTCGTATACACACACGAAATAATAACACACAGCTAGTAGCGCTGAAAGTAATTGATAAATGTCACGGAAAAAGAGAGGAGAGGAGGAGGAAGGGACGATCCGAAAGAGGAAGAGAGCGGCATACCTATATACGTAAACATGCACGAGTCATTGTCGTGAAAGTTCAGAGTACCTCGTATTACGTGTTATTATATACACCGCCACTTTACGCACCATACCCGGATATTTATTCGTTTGTTTACTATACGCGATGCGCTCGCTGATGCTCGATTTGGAAAACGATATATACATACAATGTTTCGAGAAATACGTGAATTCGGTGTAGTGCCGTTTCCAAGAATAATCGGCTGTATATACGTAAAATAAAGTCCTGTATAAATGATAAAGTAGAATTGCGCGCATTGAAAAAAAAAAAAGAAAAAAAAAATTGGTGGATGTTGGTTGGAAAATACACTGTGCAGCTTTATTTCCATCATCATCCGCAGGTCTCGGGATTGTTCGGAAAGTAAAATCAACAACACGCGATATCTCGGGAGCGATAAGAGGAGAGAAAAACTGAAGTATACGAGAGAGGCCAACACACCTATGGACTTGGGAAAAGCTGTAATAAACATAATAAAAGAATAAAAGAAGAAAAAAAAAAAAGAATGAAATGAAGCGATAGTCGGACTCGGCTAACTACGTTACGTAATGGATGATTATTTATGCGTAAGCAAGTGGCAGGAGCATTATTTTCTTTCGAAGGCTTTTCTAACCGGATGATGAAAGCGAGGCGAGCAAGGCCATCACCGTGGAGGCACATTTATTCATAATATACACACGGCACATCGAGCCGGCTATCAGTTACGTTGTACGAGGTGTTTTTACCGCAAACAGTGTAATCGTAACGCACAAACCTCAACAATTATTGTATACGAAACGAAAAGATAGATCCCTACTTGTTTGTTTTGGAAAAGAACAAAATTTGTGTGTTTTACAGGCTACGGTTTATAATAATAATATATAGTATCCCGTTCTTATCAGCTAGACAGTGGTGGATTGTTGTAGGGTATGCAGTTGATGTGATTGCAGAATATGCAGTCAACGACGGCGAGGAAAAAAAATCCGAGGCTGCGTTGCCGCTGGCATTCTATGCTTAGGGCGCAATCCGGAGCACACACGCGCCACAAAGACAAAAAAAGCGCCGACTAAATCAAGAGCGATCGAAAGCTCGCGCGCGCTCATATGGTTACAAGCTAATGGATTGACTATACTTATAGAAATCGAGAGATGCGGTGATAAAACGGTGCGGTTGCACGTATACGGCCGCGTATGGCTTAGCGCGCGCGTGTCCCGTGCAAGTTAATTGTACGTACGACAATACACCGTATACTAGGTAGACATGGAAAAAAAAAGCCGTACGCAACCCGAGAGCGGATCATAATCATCTCCCCGACCTCACCTATAATCCGCCGTCCCTCCCCTCGAGACCCCCGTAACATCCGCGCGCTCGCCTCTAAATCAGTCATTGTATAAATATATAATATGTATACATACACCTATACACTTACAATGTGTACGTAGGTAGGTAGGTAGGTATAATCAAAGTACCCTACACACCCACACACGCTGCCGTGTGTATACCTACATTATTAACTAGTTAAAACCGGGCATGCATTCTAAAGCTTGAAGCTCATAGTGTTCGGGGGCGCTCCTCCTCCATCCGGCCCTACAAACTCGCCCTTGCTATAACTCTCTCGCTGTTTCCTCTCCTCGTCGGCTTGCACAAGCCGCTCTATTTATAAAGGAAATAATAGTGTCGCTGCTGTCGGCAGGTGCATCACCGATCGCCCAGAAGAAAAAAATCAGCGGTGGCAGTAGCTCATCGTCTGAGACTGACTATAGAGCTGTGTGCACACACACGAGAGCGACAGAGAGAGAGAGAGAGAGAGAGCTTGCGAGCTTGCAGGTGCGGCTAGGGCCAAAGAGCTGTTACGTCACGCAGCCTCCACAAGAGCGCGAGGGAGAAAAGAGAGAGAGAGAGAGATAGTTTTCATATACAGTAGAGGGTGCATGGTTGCTACTGTGCTCCGAGTATAATACAGGGGGTAGCTTTGGGGGAAAAAGAAGTTACTCACTGCCAATGCTGAAGGTCCTCCAGCGCGTCTTGCGCTTGGCGCCCTTCTTGCCCATGGCTCGCGAGCTTCGAGGCTGCCGCCGGCGGTGTCCTCGCCACTACGGTGTACCGCAACAGCTCGACGTACTTCTCGTCGTCGTCTTTGACATAACGATGTTGTCGTCCCGGCGTTGTTGCCGTCGTTGATCCCGTCGTCGCCGGCCGCGGCTCAGCCGAGCCGCCGCCGACACCCTTGTTTCACTGACGGCGTCTCGTTTCTTTCGTTCGCACCTAAGTATATGGATATTGCGATTATGCCCTCGGGTAATATACTCATGTGGTTGGCAACCGGGTGCTTTAACTGCTTCGAGGTGACTCCGGTGCTTGGGTGATTTTTGTCGCTGTCACGGCTACCCCGTTATTATAAAGCTCGGCTTCGGTCCCCCCCGCACGCAGCTCCTTCGCGAATGCTATTTAGAACGGCACACTCCGCATCGCTCGAAACACGACCGGGCACTAACACGCTCGGTGAAGATAACTCTCTCTCTCTGCTCCTGCCTGTGTGTCGTTGTAAGTACTCCCCCCTCCCCTCCTAGCCCCACTTTTATCGGCGCTCTCTCGCGCTCGGCTGTACTCGTTCGTCGTCGCTTCGCGCGGTGTTGGTTTGAATGTTCGAACGGTTCGTTAGCTGTTTAAAAAGTAATAGAGTGCCGTGCAAAACCGCCCATGAGTAAAGACTGATCGATTGAGCTTATGCGATAAAAAAACGATGTTTGCATTTTCAAGCTCGTTGTCACGTGAATCCGTGATAACAGTGATCGATATAAATGGTGGCAAATTTTTTTATCGCATCGTACCCCCCTGCGTCTAAAATAAGGGTGAAATTGGCCAGTGAAGGTGTTTTTGGAACAATTATTTGTATTTGTACGATAAAAAATGCGCGAGACTAGACTGTCGTGGGAGTTTTTACTATGAAAGTGCGGTATGATAATGATTATCGATGATTCAAGAGGTATACGTACAACCATTGAAACAATTCAATTGTAATACGTTCGAAAATACGAAGAATCCCTACTCTTTTGCTGCCAAGCATGTTTTTTTCCATCATTTTATCCATAAATCATGGAATAATTATTAACATCGAAATAATATGCGAATAGTAATTGTCATCTTACGTTTTCTTTGTGAGCACTGAAAAAATACGAGTTGCATGTCAACTGTTTACGTAATTTTTTTTTTTTTTTTTTTTTTTTTTTTTTAAGAAAATCAATTATACATGAATTTATTTGACAATAAAGTGATTTTTTAAATTGTAGATTTAAAAACTAATACTAAAATTTTAAACAAATATAACACCAACGTAAAAATGCTCCCATTTTTCTATCTCGGGCGATTTTCGTGACTTTTGGATGTTGTTCGCATGATGATGTTGAGTATCCAACCAAGACACTACGAGAACGAAAACTATTATTACTCGCTGTTATAACCAGAGGACGAATAAATATTTCAAAAATTATTCCGCGCATGAAATAAAAAGCTTGTAAGATTTCCGTACAAAAGATGTAATTGTAGAGCAATTTAATCATTTTTATAATTATTGCTTCGAAAAAAAAAAAAATTATTTATTACAAATCCACACCGGTGGCACATGATCTTGTTGTCAGAATCATGTTTGAGAGCGTGTCACGAAAGATGTGCGATAAGGATTACCGCTCTTACGTACAATTCAATGCGTTGGATTCATTTTTATAAGTATAGGTATTTCATAGTGGTAAGATAAGTATAGTGTCGAGCAGCGAAGTATATAATATCTGGTATAACACGTGTAAGTATTTCTGATCAAGACCTAATCACATTACTTGATGGTCACTTCTTACACGTCGATTAACTATAAAAAAATATCCTGTTTACCACGTTACAGATGTCAAATAACAACAATTTATTTTTGTGATTAATTACGTACAATTTGTCATTCATATGTATACTCTTTACTTTTTAATCGCTGACGTTTTAAATTTCTTTATTGATAACGCACATATAACTTTTTCATCGTGATATTATAAATAAATAACTCACTTGAAGTTTACACCTGTGTATTATCTATATTATCTACGGATTATAGAAATGTTAGGATACACAGGAGTCCAAATATAATGTTATATCGTGCATAGAGACATCTCAGTCCATTATATTCAATACCTGGAACGTATGGAATCGATTCATACTCGGTAAAGGACGTATACATGTTACTTGAACGAGAAATAACCCTTGTGGTGCTAGGATACATTTTTCCTGTAAACCTGTAGAAAAACGTGTATTCCGTCTAGCACCGTTGATCTTCCGGCTTATAAGTATACTTGAAACATTGCGGTGAAACAGTAATGAAGATCATTAGGTAGAGTTGACAATTTGTCGGAGAACCTTCGTCAGTGCTACTTTCACATAAATATATGTTTGTAGTGGCAATGTTATAGGATACCGTCATATGAGCCGCGCAAAACAAATAATTTTCCAACTTGGCTGCTCTTAGAGACGTTTTTCTCATGAATTGACCTGCAGGCAAATAAGTCGAAAAAAAAAATTTTTTTTGGGACCCCGGCACTAAAATAAGTGTGTTTGAAATTAAAACTATTAAAGTTTTTTTGAAAAATTATTAACTTTAAAAAATTACCCTAATTAATTGATGTAATAAATTATTTTTAGTTGGTGGTCGGCGGTGCTGTTCCATTCCGTGAGTGTTTTATAGTTTTTACCGCGAAAAACGCAACATTTGACGTGCCCTCTAGCCTTACCATTTGAAGGTAAGTTTGCCGAGATAACTAACTTACCTATCTGAAAACAGAGTGTCGGTAACAAGTGTTACAACAGACAAATATTCAAAAATATTCGACCGGCTTTTTAGGTTATACAAAACTATGTATGCGCCGTATACATGTCAAAAAAAGTGTACTCAATAAGCTAGCAAACGTTAAAGGTTGTACGAATATTTATTTACATAATTTATCAAATATGTAAAATACTTATCAATATTACTGTATCAACAGAAGTACACGTCAAATAATCCAAAATGCTCAGAATATTATCTCTGAACGATTTTGAGGCTCCCCTGTTTGATGACCTGATAACTGCCAGTTACACGGATAATGGACCTGTTTATTGTACGAAAAATGAATTGCAGCGAGAATTGCAATCTTTCGATGTGCACCTGCGTGAATTTCCCGTTGTCAATATCACACCCGAGATGCTGGCTACCAGAGAAACAGCACGCACCATTGGAGCCAGGGATTTGTTTTTGCCAGTGCAAGACAGTGCTTTTAAAAAAATTGCTAATATTTGGAGAGAAAAGGGTTGGCTAGAAGCCATCAGAACTGCAGCTGCTGAAGATCCAAGGGAAATTACGTTTCCACTTTACTGGTTTGCCACAAGGTACTTAAATACGTTTACTGTCAATGTCCAACGAGATCTTCTAATATATATGATATTTTATATTAAAATATAAACTGGATGCCGTTAGATTCACACAAATGTTGGATCTCATAGAGAAAGGAACATTTTGGACTAGCGTTCTACCAATATCTGGGTCTGGCTCAGTCGCTGATGTAGCTGCAACGAGAGATTGGGCCACAGCACTAGTACAAATGCAAAATATTATCTTTTTTTTTTTTTTTTTTTTTTCAATTCAAATCATCAAATAATTCAATTATTATTCGTAGATCCGCTGTATGGCCTGGCATCCACATTATATACGCTTAGCTGTAGCCACTAGGGACGACAGAATCAGAATATTCTCCAATACTACTAGTAATATTAATACTGCTGTTTTAAGGCACAGTGCTCAAAAATCCGTATGCTGTATGAGTTGGAGGCCAAATGCTGGCAGAGAATTGGCAGCAGCTTGTCAAAATGGAGTATTGGTATGGACAATAGAATTAGGAGCAGCCAGCAATTCTCTCAGTCACGCAATCATGTTGAAACACAGGAATCATGCACCAGTTACAAGCGTGGCATGGAATCCAGAAGTAAGATTACCTATGGTGCATGTTTATTACAAATAAACTATTTAATAAAATTAACTTAACTGAATTTAATTTTAGGGTGACTTGTTGGTATCTTGTTGTCTAACAGACATGAACATGATAATATGGGATGTGGCAAAAGAAAGCGGAGTGCCTTTGAAAAGAGTAGGTGGAGGAGGATTATGTTTTGCCAGGTGGTCATCTTGCGGATCTCGACTCTTAGCAACAACTTGTAGAAAAATATTTAGGTATGTGTATATTGCAATAAAATCAGTGACATTTCTTGTTGCTCGTGATTATTATTAAGATTTTTTTTTTGTGCGTAGGGTATGGAATATTGGAGCTGGAACTCATTGGAAACCCGAAAGATGGACTGTGCCCAATGGTAGAGTAGCTGCAGCTTGTTTTGGGCCAAATTTAACTCTACTCTTTACATCCACGGAAAATCCAGCAATGATATTTTCCTTACCTCTTCAAGAAAAAATTTTCAACGTCAAGAAGCTCGATACTCTTGATGATGATAAAGTAGCAATGCCACTGATCGATCTGAGTAAAGTTACTTTTGCATCAAATGAAGAAGATGTGCACATTACGGCTGGTGGCAGAGTTATTTCCATGGACTGGGATCCGCTTGGAAAATATCTAGCCGTTATTTTTCAGGATAGCCCGCTAGTTGCCATATTCAAAACGAAAATCGGGAGTACTTCGAGAATAACCGAGGTTAAACCTCTGTGTTTTGCCCAAGGATTTCTCGGTGAAGTTCCGCATTGCATCGAGTTTTACCATAACTATCAAAAAAAATCAGATACCACAATCTTGACGATCGCATGGAGCAGTGGTTTCATTCAGCATTTCCCGATATTAGAGAAAGTTCAGACACACGGACAGCCAGACCTCTGTACGACCACTCACATTGGAGGAACGCTATCCAATTCATTTGCATTCAACGACGATTCGTACTTACAGTCGTCAATTTATACCAGTTTCTCTACGCTGCAATGAGAAGAACGAGTGTAAAACTTTTATCGAAAACACTCGCGCAATTGTTGGCAATGTTGCTATACTTATGAAAAAAAAAACACACACACAAATAGCGAGCAAAATTACGGCACAGCACTGCGAAATGACGAAACATTTATCTTTATCGCAAACGCAAAGTCGCAGTTGATTTATGTTCATCACCTATACGTGATGCTGCTTAGCTGTAAATTAAATATCAATTGTATTACTAAGAATTTAGTGTAATTGACCCAACTGTATTTGGAGTTTTGTAAAATACCTAGCTTTTTGAAGTATTTACATTTATACCGTGACGGTAAGCTTTGTTATCAATATCTACTATGATCTTCAACAAACAAGCGATCCGTCAGAGCTTGATATTTTTATATGCTTTTATAACGTTCTACACAGTGATTCAATAAATTGGAAAAGCACCCACTACTTTTCTTTTTTTTTTTTTTAACGTACCCCTTTTTCACACCATATTGTGGTTATAATTTTTTTACGAGCAGCGTTAATACTGTATAATGAGACCCCAAAGTGCGTGTAGAAAATCGAGTGGAAAGATGTTAGTTTTTCCAAACAGTTGTCCCGAGAAAAATAAAAATAAAACCCGTCCCCCTTTACCTCGGCTGTCGCACTCAGGAGAGTGTGTATACTTGTATGCGTTTTTATTATGCTCGAGGGTCCGCATTGGCTTGGAAAACACAAGTGCCCCCGTCTTTTCTCGTTTACGGTTTTCGGTATCTTTAATGAAGTCACACGCAAAGCGCACGCACGCCCTTCTATTTTTGATTCCTTGGCCTCACTCTCGCCCCTTTCCACCCCACAACCCTTTATCGCTACCTCCACGAGTCAAGAATGGGTATAAAAAAAAAAAAAAAAAAAAAAACATTCACTCCAAGAATTTATGAACTCCAACGCGAGGACACCATCATTATATGAAAGTGTAAAATTTGGGACAATGCACGAGTAAAATGTGGTGGAAGAGTCGCGAAAGTTTTCCTAAACGCGTATCCTTTCCTCTCGCGAATCGCCCTCTTGTGATATAAGTATGCAATATCGGCAGCGTTATTATCTTCTCGTGACGCAATTGGTGATGATACTGCGCGCGATGTTGCAAAACGAACGTATTAGCGCGAAAACAAGCGCGTATACATGTAAGAACTTGAGAGTGAAAAACAAAATTTCTGGTACTCGTATGCGATGCCTTTGACGAAAAAATCCGATTTTTGATAATTGAGGAAAAATTTCCGAGGTGACGCCGTTACATACAAAAGCAACGATTTTCATTATCCTGCCACAAGCGAAATTAAGGGAAAAAAAAAAAAAAATGAATTATTTATAACTCGGCATATCTATCGTTGTCTGCGAATAGAAATTCCGCGGGATTTCAGTTTCCAGTGTTCTCCCTATCGGCTGCGAAGGTTGCACAAACTATATGCATCTATACATCTTGAGCGCGAAATCGATACATAATATGCGTTCGATCGATAATTGCCACTCAAAACGATGCATTTCCCGTCCATTTACGCCGATCGGCAGCGAAAATCGGTAAACACGTCATGTATATAAATCCAAGCGATGAAAACACATTAGTCTGAAACATATTTGTATCCGGAGCTCCATTTAAAATATCTTCTCGGTATCATCGGAGAGTCTAAAAACACTAAAATAATAATCTCGTATTGAAAAAAAAAAGAAAATTAGGCAATCGGTATGAGCTAACGCAACAACAGCAACACACTTTCCTCAATATATACATGTATATGTTTCACAATATACATATACTTTCTCGCTATTACGTCGTTTATACAGAATTTCGCGATAAGCGCTTCTTTATACATGCAAACTCGTATCCAAAATATGCTCTCACCATCATCTCCTACACGTATACTATAGATACTTTTTTGTAAAAAAAAAAAAAAAAAGGGAAATCATAGGGTACACTTTTTAACGCCCTTGCGTGCGATCATCCGTAAGCCAATGAATTAAATTTCCAGTGCTTGTCCAATTATTCCGCTGATATGCACGCGCGCTCTCGAAATATTAAAGAATCGGCGAGAGAAAAAGAGACTCGTAGGCAAAAAGAGAGAGGAGGAAAACGAGCAAACGATAAAAAAAAAAAAAAAAAAAAAAAAAAAAAACAACACTCGGCTCCAAAGATAAGCCGCTTATCTTCTTCGCGGGGAATCCAATATGCAATTGAGTTATGTGTGTGGGTGCCATGTAGGCGTCACTGTTTTACACTTGTAAAATTGCAACCATATAATACACACTTAGCGATGATCTTTCTCCACGCGCGCGTGTGTGTGTGTGTGTCTGTTTGATTGCATTTTTTTTTTATTACTTTCAGCCAGTGTTGCAACGTCTCTCTCTCTCCCTTCCGCCCCTCCAACTACCGCTCGTAATTTTGCAAGTGCGGTATCTCTCCGCAAAAATAAAGTAGCCGATCGAGTTATTTACCGAAACGATGTCAATAACTAGCTCTCCTTCTCTCTCTAGCCATTACCATCACCGATAGTCGTGTGTAAGCATAAGTGTGTGCTCTTACACCGAGAGATCGAACGTCCATTATAACGAAGAAATTGGCACGAAGCGAGCGTTGATGAGCTAGTTTGCTCTTATCTCCCGGAGGCGCGGCAGTAGCTGCGAACGAAAAAAAAAAAAAAAAAGAAAGGAAAATCGGCTATTTCGACTACGTTCCGCCAAAGAGATCCCTAGAGACAGGGAATAATTTGGGCTCGCGAGCCATGATGTAACACCACAGAGAGTATTACAACGGATGAAAGAGAAGCGATGAGCTTTTCTTATAACTTAACTTTTCTTTTTTTCTTTTTTTTTTTTTTTTCGCATACATGCGAGGAGCTGCCCGCCCTTGCAGTCTTTTTTAATGACTTGAAGAGTGCGCAACCCCTCGAATACTACATGTATATAAGTGTATAGATATTGACAATGATCGATACTTTACAGATATGCGACAAATATGTGTGTACGGATCTACCGATCGTGTACTCAAATATTCTATATTATGTACTTTGAAACGCTTTTCATTTGTTGGAAAAAAGAGGGGGCAAAAAAAAAGTTATACATAATCGAGGTAACGAAAATTAATTTGAACTTGAACGACGAGTGATAGCCTGCTGATCTTTGATGAATAATAATTTTGCAATAATTACTTCATCGGCCGCGTTTCTCGGGTCGCACCCTGATTTCGTGACCGAAATGACGATAATATAGGTACACCCACAAAATCTGATTTACGGAAGGCTAAGATTATAATTTTTTTTTTTTTA